GAGGGACATTCAAGAACCTTACTTTAAGGAATATTTAAATGTGAGTGAATATCTTTTGACGTTTAAACAGCTTTGATTTACGATTCCATGTACCTCCGTACGTTATAACCTTCAGAAAATCCTCCCCTATTATAAATAATAATACAAAGAGAAACTAGAACTAAAAGCTCAGTGTGTGTCCACGCTGCTTGTTCACACACACACACACACACACACACACACACACACACACACACACACACACACACACACACACACACACACACACACACACACACGGTGCGCTGTATTAATAACTCATAGTGTGTTAGGCCCGTCCACACAGAGACGATATCAGTTGTATCCGTTAACGTTCTCTATCATATAGACCACATGTGTCAAACTCAAGGCCCGGGGGCCAAATCAGGCCCCTGGTGGATTTAATTTCGGTCCTGAGGGTCTCCTCAGCTCAGAGCCTGAGCCCAAACATTGATGACCTTGCACCCAAGATGAGATGCCAAGTATCTGAGCTAGCATCACAGAGCAGCTATTTTGTGTTAGGCAATCATTTAAGCTTTGTTAGTTCCAGGTTTAATATGTGCAATAAGTTCATTTCAATAAGTTCTGCAATAAACATTGAACCAGTGCGGCCCTCCACTAGCACCCTTTTTTTTAATGTTGGCCCTCTGTGTGTTTGAGTTTGACCCCCCTGATATAGACGGTTCGTCCACATGAAGCCACGGATTCGGAGCCCGAAAACTTTGATAACGGCTCCCGAAGTGGGTAGGTCTGAGGACGAAACGCTTGCGGCTCCGTGTGTACGCCCTTTACGATCATTCCCTGAATCGATGACGCCATAGCCCCTCTCCCCACCCCCGCGTCATTGCTGATGCGTTTCGCCACCAACAACAACAACAATGGCGGATCACAGGGTTGCGTTCGTGCTCCAGACGCTACTGACCATGCTACAGATTTGACCTTTTTCTACCTTGTTTGTTTGTTTGTGCCTTATGCCCATGCTCAGGGGTCTTCTTCACTGCTTTTGGTTAATTTTGTGGCGGAAGTAAAGCGCCATTTACAGGCCCAGCATATGTACTACAGCGTCTCCAGCGGTTTCGAGCGGCCTCGTGTGGACGGACATGTTTCTGGAGCCGATTCCGTTTGAACAGAAGACTTTTTTGAAATCGACTTCGGTTCAAAATGGGTTTGGTCTCCGTGTGGGCGGGGCCTTAGTCCTTTGTTAGTCATGTAGCAGTTGGGTACCTGTCTCTCCCCACAGACTGTCAGCTGTGTTGATCTCAGGTTTATCTTCCTCTTCCTCAGGTAGATCCAGCAGGTGAGACACCATCTGCACATCCAGAAACATAGAAACACATGCATTAGTGTGTGTGTGTGTGTGTGTGTGTGTGTGTGTGTGTGTGTGTGTGTGTGTGTGTGTGTGTGTGTACCTGAAGGAAGCTCTCAATGTATTGCAGCAGGTGTGTGTGTGTGTGTGTGTGTGTGTGTGTGTGTGTGTGTGTGTGTGTGTGTGTGTGTGTGTGTGTGTGTGTGTGTACCTCTGTGTGTCCCATGCTAGCAGCAGCGCTCACAGCGTGCTGCAGAGCTCTTCTCCTGCTCGGCCCCTTCTGGCTGCAGCAGGAAGTGCAGCTCCAGTCTGCGCGGCGCAGCAGGAAACGCATCACAGCGATACGACCGCGCTGAGCAGCGAGAACCAACACACATCGTCCTGAACCGTCCACGTGACCCGCCTGAGAGAGAGAGAGAGAGAGAGAGAGAGGGAGAGAGAGAGAGAGAGAGAGAGAGAGAGAGAGAGAGAGAGAGAGAGAGAGAGAGAGAGAGAGAGAGAGAGACAGAGAGAGACGGAGAGAGAGAGAGAGAGACAGAGAGAGAGAGAGACAGAGACAGAGGGAGAGAGAGAGGGAGGGAGGGAGAGAGAGAGAGACAGAAACAGTTACTATTACACCTGCAGGATTCTGAAAGGAAACTAGTTGTGATTATTGTGACCGATAATCTCCAGTTACATATTTAACAAATACATTTCTCCCTTACCTTGGCGTTGTGCTGACTCAGCATGGTGACGATTTCCATGTGTCCGGCGGCAGCAGCGAATCCCAGAGCAGTGAGGCCGTCATGTGACTGAGTATCGACCTACAGGAGCAACAACAACAACAACAACAACAACAGAGGACACACACCTTTAGCACCATATTCTCAGAAAGAGATCAAAAACAATCAGTGCTTCTTCCCCTGAAACCTCTCACCTGCGCTCCGAGGTCCAGCAGCAGAGCCACGGCGTCACTGTGCCCCAGGTGAGCGTGGACGCACAGCAGGGGGGCGCTGTTCAGCACGTCACTGCGGGAGTCCACGTCTGCCCCCCCCATCACCAGCAGCCGGCTCACCTGCACAGGTAGAGAGCGAGGTATAGACCAGCTGTGTTAGCCAGGTGTGTGTGTGTGTGTGTGTGTGTGCATGTTGTGTGTGTGTGTGTGTGTGTGTGTGTGTGTGTGTGTGTGTGTGTGTGTGTGTGTGTGTGTGTGTGTGTGTGTTACCTTGATGTTGGGGGTGTACAGGTTTCTCAGAGATGAAAGGGCGGGGCTCAGACCCTCGGTGCTGTAGGACATCCACAGCCCCTGCAGAACTGAGGAGGAAACCCCGAGCTTCTTACTCAGCCCCTGCAGGACAGACATGAGTCAGCATTTTATCAGAAGTCAATGGGATTTTGAATGTGAATAACCCGAGCAATAAAGTGAGTGAAGTTAGCGTTAAAATATCTGCTGTATGTAGACTGTTTACTGTAGTGGTTCAGTCTGTAGGGGGTTGGACTGGAACTGCCCTTGAGCAAGGCACCGAACCCCCAACTGCTCCCTGGCGCCTGATAGACTGGCTGACCCCTCAATGTGTGTGCATGTGTGAATATATAACCGTGTGTATTTGTATGTACTTATGTAAGAAGCATGTGCATGCATAAAAAACAGAGTGGAACACTGCATTTAAATGAATAATAAAGGTCCATCATCGTCTTCTTCTTCTTCTGTAGGGTCTCACCTTGTAGATGTGGGCCTTCAGGATGTGGTGCCCCAGCTCCAGGGTCTGCTGGCGGGTCAGCTTCCCCCCCCGTCTGCAGAGCCAGAAGGCCAGCAGGGTGTGACCGCTCCTAAAGACACAAAGGTATTCCCTCAGTGACATCAGGAGATGGTTTCTCTGAACCTGGGCTCCTATAATATACATTTAGTTTATTTGTGTATAGTGCCGAGGACAGTCCCCATTGATCAGCTGTCACAAAGAACAGCTGTTGTCCCCGGCCAGGTGATTATAGACACCCTTTTAAAATCACAATACATCAACAGCATCCAGAGGCGCGGGAAGGTATTTTGAGTTCTGGACTCCAGTGAACACTATTACGGGCTCTATAGAGCAGGGGGGCCCACCAGGGGGGCTACAGTGGAATGTTCTACTGCAACACTCCCCACACGCAAACACAAAGCACACCCCCGACTGCTACAATCAGCTCACGGCATATAGGCAGGGGTAAAGTGCTATTTTTATGAGTGGGGAGCGGACCTCACCTCCTCTAGGGGGGTCCTCACCTCCTCTAGGGGGGTCCGGGGGCATGCTCCCACCGGAAGATTTGTTTTAAATATTGAAGTTGAAAGCATCAATCTGGTGCACTCTGAGAGCAACATGAAGAGATCTATGGATACATCTCTCAGCACCCAGATGAAACACAACTGGAAGCAGATGTTCTTCTTCTTTATGGATATTTTACAAATCACTCCCCTTTCAAAGGGGGGGGTCCTGCCATCCTCTCTAGTGTCTTGATGAGGTTCACGTAAAGCACGGTTAATGTATTATATTATTGAGGTAGAATTGTCCGGGGCTACAGAAAAAACATTCGGGGCAGGCCAACATATTATTTTACCAACAATGAGGAATGTATTGGCTCCATATCACACAGTTTATGCACAGCGGGAGCAGCAATAACCGTCAAATAATAATTCAGACAGGGGAGCTCCGCACCGCCTGCCTGCCGCTAGGGGGTGCTGCAGCGCTCTCAGCACCCCCCTTCCCGCGCCCATGACAGCATTAGATATAAAGAAAGGATGAAAGTGACCTCTCTCTGTACCTGGGGTCAGAGATTCTCTGTTTAGCTTTAAACATCAACGCTCTTCTGCCAATACATTCTCTGTCAGAGGGGACAGAGAAGTACATCTGGACTGTGTCTAACTTGATCATTTGACGAGTAAGGTACAAAATACTGCTTTAGATAATGGGGATAGTTAAAGTGAATGCATTATAATATGAGTTGAAGCCAATGCATGTGTCTGTACCTGGGCTCGCAGAGGAAGCGGGGGTCCTGGCCCTCCTCCCTCCACATCAGCCACTCCCTGAAGGAGCTGTGGTTCAGCATCCGGCTGCCGTCGCTCCTCCTCAGCAGGAAGGAGTTCAGCTGTTCCATCCTCTGAACAAACTCCCCCCAGCTCAGCAGCCCCCCCGACACAGCGCTGGCATTCACCACCTCGAACAGCTGCAGGAGGAACACACACATGGTCGTTAATCCATTGAAGACGCTAAAAGATCTGTAGGAAACGGGGCCGTGCTTTAGGAGGCCCCGCATGGTAAGTCTTAGTTCAGTCTATTTGTTCATAGTGTCGAGGACAGTCCCCATTAATCAGCTGTCACCAATACAGTACATGGGGCAGCTTTACCAACATTGCATATTTCCAGATGATAATACCGTTTCTCATTTCATCAACACTTCTCTAACTTCTGGTCACTTTCCAAACAGTCTCAAGGAGGCAAGAGTAAACCCTCTCCTAAAGAAACCCACTCTCAACCCGTCTGATGTTAGAAACTACAGGCCTGTCTCTCTCCTCCCGTTCCTGTCTAAAACACTTGAACGCGCTGTCTTTAAACAACTCTCCTGTTATCTCCATCAGAACAACCTTCTGGATCCGCACCCGTCTGGTTTCAAGGCAGGTCACTCCACAGAAACTGCTCTCCTTGCTGTCTCTGAGGAACTGCACACGGCTAAAGCAGCCTCCCTCTCCTCTGTCATCATCCTTCTGGACCTGTCTGCTGCATTCGACACGGTGAACCATCAGATCCTCCTTCACACTCTCCAAGAACTTGGAGTTTCAGGCTCTGCACTTTCCCTCCTCACCTCATACCTCAAAGACCGACCTACAGGGTAACTTGGAGAGGGTCCGAGTCCGACCCTTGTCAATTAACTACAGGGGTCCCTCAGGGCTCTGTTCTTGGTCCCCTCCTCTTCTCCTTGTACACAAACTCGCTCGGGTCTGTCATTAGCCCGCATGGTTTTTCAGTACCACCTGCTAACGCTGGACGACAACCAAAAAAAACTAATTCTGTCCATTTCCCCGCTCAGGAGACCCAGGCTCGCTCGCACGCCCATCTCTGCTTGTCTTAGCCTGATATCCTCAGTGTATGTCT